AATAATTAATAAAAATGCTTTTCTCATCTCTGCCTTTTGACAAAGAGAAAAAGATGCATGTAACCCAAGTTACCCAATGCCGTCTCTTGTAAATGCTTGAATTCTGGAACGAGTTTTTAAATATTGTCTATGAACCAAAGTTAAGCTTTTTACCTAGTAGTCATGAAAAAAATGAGAGCTGGTATGGTAGTATTTGAATTCTTACAAATTACTTCCCCCAAAGACTCATCTTTTGCCAAACTGAGGAACCCAATCGCATAGCATTATTGTTCTAAAAACATTCTAGGCTGGGTGTGGTGGCTCATACCTGAATCCCAGCACTTTGGGAGGCCTGAGGCTGGTGGGTGACTTGAGCCCAGGATTTCGAGACCAGCCTTGGCAACATGCTGATACCCTGTCTCTACCAAAAATATGAAAAATATCCAGTCTCACAACCTAGTCTCAAATACATAAATAAATTGAAGAATTATTTTTTAAAAAACGGCGAGAGCACATGGACACATTGGGGGGCCAATACATACTGGGGCCTGTGAGGGGTGTGTGGGGGCGAGGGAGAGCACAGCTAGGCTTAATACCTAGCTGATGGGATGATCTGTGCAGCAAACCAACATGGCACATGTTTACCTATGTAACAAACCTGCACATATACCCCTGAACTTAAAAGTTGACAAAAAATAAAAAGCATTCTATGGCCAGGTGTGGTGGCTCATGCCTGTAATCCCAGCACTTTGGGAGGCTGAGGTGGGCAGATTGTCTGAGCCCAAAAGTTCAAGACCAGCCTGGGCAACATGGCAAAACCCCCTCTCTACAAAATATACCCCCCCCCCCAAAAAAAAATTAGCCAGGTGCAATGGCATGCACCTATAGTCCCAGCTATTCGGAAGGCTGAGATGGGAGGATGGCTTGAACCCAGGAGGTGGAAGTTGCAGTGAGCCAAGATTTTGCCATTGTACTCCGGGCAACATAGACGCTGTCTCTTAAAAAATAATTTGAAAAAAAAAAGATTGTAATTACATTTGCCAAAAAAAAAAAAAAAAAAGCCTCCTAGGAAATAGCCCATCTAAAATCAACCACAACTCAGGTACCTTAATTGTATTTTGATTTGCTTTTTCCTCAGGTTTGAAGCATTTTTAAATGTGATAATGAGTACAAACAAGTGAAGTCCCAGTTTTTCACTGATTTTTTTCATAAGATAAGCATTTTTCTGTGACATTGCATAACCATCAATTTCAGTAAGTTAAGCAGCCAGCCCTCTTAGGAGTTTTAAAAGAAGTCTCTAGAAGCAGTGCCTTTGCTCCTTACCGGAGGCCTGCAGCTGACCAGAAAGGAAAGTGAGGACATGCACGTTCAGGGCGCTGCCATATCGCTGGAAGCAAAGTCCCGCTGTTCCTTGTTTTGTTTCCATCACTCTTGACAAGGGAAGTGTAGCTAAAAGCTGCATTCATCTCTGTCTCCTCCCTGCTGTCTTTAGATCTTGCTGCTTAAAATACTAGCAAGCCTCAGGGTTAGGTTTGCTCCAGAGTGTCCCAGTTTTAGCACTGAAAGTCTTGCTGGGGCAACCCTTGTCCGGAGCAAACTGGGACAGTTGGTCACCCTACCAGGGGAGAAGTGGGATGAGTGTACCCACATATTTGGCCAAGCTGTCAGAGCTAAGGTCCTTCCCTGGAACTTCTCTATCTGGATGTGAGTAGCCAGCGTGTGCCCTTGGGCTTCAGGACCACCACAATGCCATCCCCGCCTGCTTTTTTTGCTCAGTCACTGGGCCCTGGGCTATCTCACCCACTCATCCAGCCTAGAGGCACCTAACGGGGATATTCCCGTAGGGGCTCCTGAGAGTAAATGTGACGTTCAGGTAAAAATAAGAGCTCTGGATTTTTTTTTTTTAATTTATTTATTTAACTTTAGGTGCATACTATATCTGGCATTTCTTCCCATGTTATCCCTCCCCTCCCTCCCCACCCCCTGCTGTCCCTCCCCTAGTCCCCCTCCCCAACTGCCCCAGTGTGTGATGCTCCCCTCCCTGAGTCCATGTGTTCTCATTGTTCAACACCCGCCTATGAGTGAGGACATGCGGTGTTTGGCTTTCTGTTCTTGTGTCAGTTTGCTGAGAATGATGGTTTCCAGATTTATCCAAGTCCCTACAAAGGACACAAAATCATTGTTTTTTATGGCTGCGTAGTATTCCATCGTGTATATGTACCACATTTTCTTTGTCCAGTCTATCATTGACGGGCCTTTGGGTTGGTTCCAGGTCTTTGCTATTGTACACAAGGCTGCAGTGAACATACGTGTGCATGTGTCTTTATAGTAGAACGATGTATAGTTCTTTGGGTATATGCCCAGTAATGGGATTGCTGGGTCAAATGGAATTTCTATTTCTAGATCCCACAATTGGTGGGAGTGTAAATTAGTTCAACCACTATGGAAGACAGTGTGGCGATTTCTCAAGGTTTGTCTTAGCCCAAAATCTCCTCAAAGTTCAGCAAAGTCTCAGGATACAAAATCAATGTGCAGAAATCACAAGCATTCCTATATACCAATAACAGACAAACAGAGAGCCAAATCAAGAACGAACTACCATTCACAATTGCTACAAAGAGAATAAAATACCTAGGAATACAACTAACAAAGGAGATAATGGAATTTTTATGTTTAATGCTGGCCTGCCCTGTCAGCTTTGAAATCACTTCTTATAATCATTAATCTGATTTCTTTTCAGTTGCATTTGACTTCTGTGCCCTTCAGAAATACAAAATAGTTTCCATACTTTGCAAAGGAAGGATTTCCATTTATACTCAAACGTAGACCTACACATGACCTGTGCAAGATTGTGCAGTTCAGCTCTTCACTGCTTTGTTGGTCCACAGAGTTAGTGCTCTCATTATGGTGAGACTTGAATAACAAGAGAAACAACTCGGGGATGGTCCTCATTCTACTTCAGTTCAACATGTAATGCTGTACAGAGAAACTTGTTTTTGCTGTATGATGGGGACTATGCTATTGTCCCTTAAGGATGAAAAAAGAAATCACATTGATTTCAAAATATAGTAATGATTATCAGTAAAGAAAGCAATGGGAGACGTGAGAGATGCAGGCTGCGTATACTGGTCATGGAAAGTAAAACTAAACGGATGCACTATGAATTTGCTGATTGATCAGCATCTTTACACTGAATTCTAGAAGAAGAATCGCTTTATACATGATGGTCTTTGCTAATCAGCTATAATCAGGTGTTCCTAGAATGGTGAAGTAATTAAGCCTTGTTCACTGGTACTGGTGGTATATAATTGTTTCCATACTTTTGGCCTAAACAACTGTAGGAGGGTTTGCAAAGGCCATAAGTACTCAAGGTCTTGGAGGTAATTTCTCTGTATAAACAATGCAAATATTTTATTGCTGGAGTTCAGTTGAAATTTTTAAACAGGCTTTAAATCTATCAGGATTTTCCTGTGGGTTTCTGCTTAGGAGAGTGGGGGTGGTGATGGTGACTGAGTAACATGAAAGGCCCCGTTTTCCTGCAGTGGGGGCCCAGGGCTCTTTCATCTTAGTCTGACTGCTGTCCCACTGCTGCTTGAGGATTTGGAGTGTGTAAAAGTCCTGTGCTTTTTAATTATGTTTGAGCCTTTTAAGAAGCCCGCGCCATAAAGGGAGAGACGGAAACACATGCAGTGAAATATTTTATATCCAATTTGAGGATTCAACCGAAGGTCTCTGCTCGGGCCAAATCAGAGCCTTCAAATAGATAAAAGGTAGCATGGAGTTGAGGCTGACCTCTTTGCTGGAGGTAGAGTGGCAATACTTTATGATAATTAATATCATGTTAGCTGCATAAAAATCGCACAAGAAAAGTAGAAAAAAGGAGGGTATATTCCTCAGATTTTCACCTTCTAAATTATTAACTTTTTTCAAAATTGTATTTCATATATGTGAATATGTACACTGATTTTTATAGTTATTGTGATATATGTTATATTGGACTTTGAGCTTTCATATTTAACATTGTGTGATAAGCATTTCCCACACTGCATCATGATTCAATGAAACATTTTAAAGGTTTTACAATGTCATATAGAATTCTTGTACTGCTGTGCATTTACCTACCCAGTTATAGGACTTTTAGATTGTGTTTGAGTTTTTCATTATAAGACTCAATGAATATATATAATTTTAAAAAATTTCTCTGGACCTGTTTTCCTAGAATATATCCTGCAAGTTGAAATTGCTGGGACAAGAAATTTCCCATTAGTTCCACAACTTTAGCAGAATTGGGTATTATCTGAATTCTTTTTTCAAGCGGAATTGAAAATTGTTTTAGGGTTAAAGACAAGAGTTGCCTCAGTGTTGTTTTTCTTGTGATAACCATCAGTTTGACATACACACAAATTGTATTCTAGGAGGAAGGAACATTCCTCTCTGTTGACAAGTAGCTATCATATTTTTTAAAAGGAAGTTTTGCAAGTGGCATGGCAGGCATAGTTGCTTCCAATAAGAAACAAGTTTAAGGTACCTGATTCTCTGCTGCTGCTGCAAAAAAATTATACTTGCCATAGAAATCGATGTAGGAGAGGAGAACATTATGGATTAGCAATACCCAAGAGAATGCTCAGATTGCCATTGACTGTAGTGCCTGAAGTTAATGAAATGCAGACTTCATGAAAATCCTAGGGTGTAGTATTCCTTGGTTCCACTAAAATGTAACCACAGTCTTCCTCCTCAACATAGCCATAAATCCAAGTAAAACTATATGTGTGTATCACTGGGTGATACAACACAAATGTCTTTGAACCAAGAGAGTCCTTTGTGCAGATTACTATGAAGAATGCAATGGTAGAGGCAAGGCTTGAGTTTATTTCAGATTGTTGTTTCTCATGGCTAACTAGAAGAAAATCTCGGAGAGATTCATGTCTCCTTTTCTGTCTTGCTGGCTCACTATACCTAGCTCAGTTTACAAGCTTCACCTCCTGAATCTTGCATTTGCTGATGGCTTGATTTCATTTCAGGTTCTGATCTACAATGGCCAACTGGACATCATTGTGCCAGCCGCTCTGACAGAGCGCTCCTTGATGGGCATGGACTGGAAAGGATCCCAGGAATACAAGGAGGCAGAAAGAAAAGTTTGGAAGATCTTTAAATCTGACAATGAAGTGGCTGGTTACGTCCGGCAAGTGGGTGACTTCCATCAGGTAGGAAGATGCTTGGGGGCGGGCACGTTGTAGGAATGGGAGAGTGGGATTGAAAATAAAGCCTGAATACCAGTGAGACATGGCTGACCTTAAGCAAAGCCATACAACAGCCAACATGTGTCTTCTGTGGCCCTGCTTTCCACAGAGAAGAGTGGTCTGAGATCATACATACATAGGATTAAATATTAAACTAGAGAAAAAATTTAGGCGTTGTTCAAGAGGTAAGGAGACAACTCATTAAAAAGACAGTACTCAGTTCAAAGAAGCAAGTCATTAATGAGAGAATTGCAGTCTATTTGGGGAGAAAGGCTGACAAATTATAAGAGGAAGTTTCAATACAATTTCATCTGGCAAATGTATGATCATATTTTTATATTACACATGGAGCCTCGGGACAAAATCTCTCTAGCTGATACCCTAGTGCAACCTCCATTTTGGGGTCAGACTCTCCTCATCTTCCTTTCTTGCAATGTTCTCTTTAAGTTTTGGAATCATGGTTATGCTGGCTTCATAAAATAAGTTGGGAAGTATTTCCTCTTTCTATTGTTGGAAACAGTATCTTTTTAATAAGTGTTAGGAGAATTTATTGGTGAAGCCATCTGGGCATGGAGATTTCATTGAGGGAAGGGTTTTGTCATTGTTGATATACAGTAAGTGTATATCTTTATAGAATACATGTAATATTTTGATAAGTGTATTTAATGTTAATGATAAATCAGGGCATTTAGGATATCTATCACCTCAAACATGTATCGTTTTGTTATATTGGGAACATTTCAAATCTCTTCTAGCTGTTTTGAAATATGCAGTATATTGTTGTTAACTATAGTCACTCTACTGTACTATTGAACACAAGAATTCCTTCTAGCTAACTGTTTGTACCTATTAACCAATCTCTCTTCATCTTCCCACCCATCCCCACTTCCCAGCCTCTGGCAACTATCATTCTGTTCTCTGCCTCTATGAAATCAACTTTTAAGCTCCCACATATGAGTGAGAAATACAATATTTGTCTTTCCATGCCTGGCTTATTTCATTTAACGTAATGACCTCCAGTTCCATCCATGTCACTGCATGTGATAGGATTTTGTTCTTTTTTATGGCTTAATAATATTCCATTGTGTATATATGCCACATTTTTAAATACATTCATCTGTTGATGAATACTTAGGGTGACTCCATGTCATGGCTGTTGTGAATAGTGCTGTAATAAACATGGGGTGCAGATATTCCTTTGATATACTGATTTATTTTCCTTTAAATACCAAGTAGAGGAATTGCTGCAGTGTATGGTAGTTCTATTTGTAGTTTCTTGAGAAACCTCCATATTGTTTTCCATAATGGCTATACTCATTTACATTCCCACTTAACAGTCTATGAGTTTCTTTTCTCTGCATCCTCATCAGCATCTGCTACTTTTTGTCTTTTTGGTAATTGCCATTCTAACTCCAATGAGATGATACCTCTTTGTGGTTTTAATTTGCATTTCCTTGGTGATTAGTGATGCTGAGCATGTTTCCATATACCTGTCCAGCACTTGTGTGTCTCCTTTTGAGAAATGTCTATTAAGATCCTTGTCTCACTTTTTAATGGTATTATTTGTGTTTTGTGTTCTTCAGTTGCTTGAATTCCTTGTATCTTCTGGATATTAGTCTTTTGTCAGATGGATACTTGGCAGATACTTTCTCCCATTCAACAGGTTGTCTCTTCACTCTTTTGTTCCTTTTGCTGTGTAGAAACTTTTTAGTTTAATGTAGACCCATTTGTCTATTTTTTTTGTTTTGTTGCCTTTGCTTTTGGGGTTGTGGCCATAAAAGCTTTACCTACACCAGTGTCCTGAAGTATTTCCCCTGTTTTCTTCTAGTGGTTTTATTATTTTAGGTCTTATGTTTAAGTCTTTAATCCATTTTGAGCTTATTTTACATGTATATGGTGAGAGATAGGGGTTTAGTTTCATTGTTCTGCATGTGGATCCCAGTTTACCCAGCACCATTCATTGAAGAGGGTGTCCTTTCCCCAGTATATGTTCTTGTCAGCTTTGTCAATTATTTGGCTATAAATACATGGATTTATTTCTGGGTTTCCCATTCTGTGCCATTGGTCTATGTGCCTATTTTTATACTAATACCTTGCTGTTTTGGTTATTATTGATTTGCAGTATATTTTGAAATCAGGTAGTGTGATGCCTCCAGCTTTGTTATTTTTGCTCAGTATTGCTTTGACTTTTTGGGGTCTTTTGTGGTCCATGAGAATTTTAGAACTTTTTTTCTATTTCTGTGACAAATGTCATTGGTAGTTTAATAGTTATGCATTGAATCTGTAGATTGCTTTAGTCAGTATGATCATTTTAACAATATTTTTCCAATCCATGAGCATGAGATGTCTTTCCATTTGTTTGTATCCTCTTAAATTTCTTACATCTGTGTTTTATAGTTTTCCTTGTAGGATCTTTCACCTCCTTGATTAAATTTATTTTAAGATTGATTAGTTATTTTGTAGCTATCATAAATTTCTTTCTTGATTTCTTTCTTAACTAGTTCATTATCGGTATATACAAATACTAGTGACTTTTGTATATTGATTTGTATCCTACAACTTTATTGAATTCATTTATGAGTTCTAAAAGGTTTTTGGTGGAGTCTTTAGGTTTTTGTATATAAAAGAGCCAAATCATGAATGAAATTCCATTCACAATTGCTACAAAGAGAATTAAATACCTTGGAATACAACTTACAAGGGATATGAAAGACCTCTTCAAGGAGAACTACAAATCACTGCTCAAGGAAATAAGAGAGGACACAAACAAATGGAAAAACATTCATTGCCCATGGTTAGGAAGAATCAATACTGTGAAAATGGCCATATTGCCCAAAGTAATCTACAGATTAAATGCTATCCCCAACAAGCTACCATTGACTGTCTTCACAGAATTGGAAGAAAACACCTTAGATTTCATATGGAATCACCAAAAAGCCCACATAGCCAAGACAATTCTAAGCAAAAAACAAAACAAAACAAAAAAACAAAGCTGGAAGCATCACACAACCTGACTTCAAACTATACTGCAAGGCTAGGGTAACCAAAACAGCATGTACTGGTGCCTAAACAGATCTATAGACCAATGGAACAGGACAGAGGCCTCAGAAATAATGCCATACACCTAAAACCATCTAATAATTAGCAGACCTGACAAAAACAAGCAATGGGGAAAGGATTTCCTATTTAATAAATGGTGTTGGGAAAACTGGCTAGCCATATGCAGAAAGCTGAAACTCGATCCCTTCCTTACACCTCATACAAAAATTAACTCAAGATGGATTAAAGATTTAAACATAAGACCTAAAACCATAAAAACCCTAGAAGAAAACCTAGGCAATACAATTCAGGCATGGGCAAAGTCTTTATGACTAAAATATCAAAAGCAATGACAAAAGCCAAAATAGACAAATGGGATCCAATTAAACTAAAGAGCTTCTGCACAGCAAAAGAAACTATCATCAGAGTGAACAGGCAACCTACAGAATGGGAGAAAATTTTTGCAGTCTACCCATCTGATAATGGACTAATATTCAGAATCTAAATTTACAGGAAAAAGCAACCTCATCAAAAAGCAGGCAAAGGATATAAACAGACACTTCTCAAAAGGAGACATTTATGCAGGCAACAAACATATGAGAAAAGCTCATTATCACTGGTCATTAGAGAAATGCAAATTAAAACCACATTGAGATACCATCTGACACCAGTTAGAATGGTGATCATTAAAAAGTCAGGAGACAACAGATGCTAGTGAGGATGTGGAGAAATAGGAACGTTTTTACACTGTGGGTGGGAATGTAAATTAGTTCAACTATTGTGGAAGACAGTGACAATTCCTCAAGGATCTAGAACTAAAAATGCCATTTGACCCAGCAATCCCATTACTGGGTATATACCCAAAGAATTATAAATCATTCTATTATAAAGACACATGCACATGTATGTTATTGCAGCACTGTTCACAATAGCAAAGACTTGGCACCAACCGAAATGCCCATCAATGATAGATTAGATAAAGAAAATGTGGCACATATACACCATGGAATACTATACAGCCATAAAAGAGGATGAGTTTATGTCCTTTGCAGGAAAAATGAAGCTGGAAACCGTCATTCTTAGCAAACTGTTGCAAGAACAGAAAACCCAACACTCTATGTTCTCACTCATAACTGGGAGTTAAACAATGAGAACCCATGGATACAGGGAGGGGAACATCATGTACTGGGGACTGTCGGGGGTGGGGGGGTGGCGGGGGTGGGGTTAGGAGAGGGATAGCATTAGGAGATATACCTAATGTAGATGACAGGGTGATGGGTGCAGCCAACTATCATGGCATGTGTATGCCTATGTAACAAAACTGCATGTTCTGCACATGTACCCCACAACTTCAAATACAATTTAAAAAAGAAAAGGAAAACAGAAAAAGTATTTGGAAAAAAAAAAAAGAGATCATGTCATCTGCAAAGAGAACAATTTGACTTGCTCTTTTTCAGTATGGATGCCGTTTGTTTCTTTTTCTTACTCTATTGCTCTGGCTAGGACTTCTGGTACTATTTTGACAAAGGGTGGTGAAAGGGAACATTCTTGTCTTGTTCCAGTTCTTAGAGGAAATGCTTTTAGCTTTTCCCTATTTGGTATGATGATGTTTGTCATATATGGTCTTTATTATGTTGAGGTATGTTCCTTTTATGCCTGGTTTGTTGACAGTTTTTATGAAAGGATGTTGGATTTTATCAAATGTTCTTCTTAATCTATTGAGATGAAGTTATGGTTTTTGTCTTTTATTCTGTTGATGTGATGTATCATGTTTATTGATTTGCATATGTTGAACCATCCTTGCATTTCTGGGATAAATTCCACTTGATTATGGTTTATTATGTTTTTGATGTGTTGTTGGATTCTGTTTGCTAATATTTTGTTGAGGATTTTTACATCTATATTCATTAGGGAGATTGGCCTGT